TGTGTGTTCATGGAGGGTTAGTCCAGATAATTGTACCTAAAAGAACATTAACAGGTATGATTGGTATGTAATTTCATTTTTAAACAGTGTTAAAGCAAGAGACACTTGGAGACCTCTATGGAATAAATGCATTTGCTTTTTCAGAGCAAAGAGGTGGTTTCCGAGGCGGCCGAGGGAGAGGCTGGGGAGGACGAGGCAATCGCAGTAGAGGAAGAATCTACTAAACCGACCATTATATTCTCCAGGGCTACTACAGGTGAAAGCACCTGTCAAAAGTGAACGTACCATTCATCAAAGGATTGCCTGGGTTATTGTATCCCTTCAAGGACTGCCTTCCACTAAAGACTGACTTAAATGTTCTTTATACCTTTGTATGTATGATCTACTTTTCTAACGGACTACAATTCGTCCATAGTGAAACAGCAACTGTATTTTTGGATGCTTACAGTCAGCGACTTTGAGTTCTTATTTTTGAAGTGTCTTCAGGGTTTATTCAGAAATGGAAAACAGCGTAGATGTTTTATCTGAAGCTACATCTTGATGGTTTGTATATTAACCTAAAAATCAGCTATTGCATAATTAAACTATATAATTGAGTTTGTGTATAAAATAATGGACAGGAAAGGCTTGATTACAAAGATGTGTCAGTTAAGACTGACAGCTGAAATAATCCTTTCCTCATCTATAACCATACTTTGCAATATGTGGAGAAGAGTACCATTGTGAAATTAGCATTTACTTACTTTTCATAAAAATCGTTGACTGAAATAAATGCTGGTTTTATAGTGTCTGCAACATGGATGCAAAACTTTTGCCTGTAGCATGAAGCAATCCTTTTATTTTTAAGATGTGGAGAATGTGGTGTTTTTTGTTTTTGCACATCTTACTCTTCTCCGTGCATTGTAACACAAAGGTGACGTTTTGAAAATGGGTTTTTAATGTTTAATATAAACGTGTGCATATACTTATGCTATAAAATTTCAATAAACAAACAGGAAAAAACAAAAACAATAAATGAGTAGAAATATTCCCAGAATGGGGCAAGCCTGATGTAATGATTAAGCTTCATAGTGTGAAGCTGGACAGGAGGAGATAGCTGGCCTTTCCTGCACATTGAACATTTCTGGGTTGGCTGGCACTTGACAATTTTTTTGTTTTAATCAATACAACTGCATTTTAAAAATATATAGATAAAATTGTATTTTGGGTAACACAGAAAAATTACAGTTATGTAGTTTGGTTCAGGTGACGAATTAAAGATTCCATGCAATTTAGTTTTTAATAATAGCTTGTAATTCTTATTTAAATGCGGACACCCAGTAAATACAACTTAAAAGAACAGTGGAGGGGGGAGTGGGGGCGATGTTTGTTTAGGTTTTTTTACCACTTAAGAATTTTTTGCTTTTTTTCTCAGGTCATTCTTGAAAGATTCACCATTGAAAGGGTTTAGGTGATAGTAGAAAGAAGGAAAGTTGGAAGGGAAAATAATTTTAAGTGTTCAGAGACATCTTGACATAAAATAGCTTAGGCTTTAGAAGTCTGAAGGGTTTCCCTTTAATTTTTTTTTCAGTCATTTTGATGTCCATACCCCAACAAACCAAATGCCTGAAAGTGATGTTTTCAGTTTAGTTTCACGTGTATTTGTGAGTCATAGGATATAAATCTGATACAGGTGTCTTCATTAGCATGCTGATATTTATCACTGCAATCTGAGGATATGGCATGGGCATTTCTGGAACCTAGTGCAAGATCTTGTGGAAGAAAGCAGTTATTTAGAGAGGCCTGCATAGCAAAACTATTGAGGTTAAAGAAGCAGTAAACTGAAATTTCTTAACTTTGGGTCTGTGATTGTAAACTTTGGACATTCCAAAAGCATTTGTGCTGAACTTGCATTTCTAGTTTCAAGAGAGCTGCTAAATTTAGATTGTCACTAAGAAACTAACCATATGAACAATAACTTTCACATATGGAAAAAAAAATATCAGTTTGGTAACAGGTGCTGGATAGGTGTGGTACAAATGTTCCAGGTGAAAATTTGGCCTACTGCATGTGTGGTAATTAGTGACAAATAATTGATTTTTTTTTTTGGACAAATGATTTTCATAGCCTACTTGCAAGCACAGTTTAAGACTAATCATTGGATACAAGCAGCTTCCTTCTCACTGAAGTTGAGTGAGTTGACTTTATGGAATTCTACTAGAGATGATGTTACACAAAGTTCTTGCTGCCTCAGAAATAGCTAGCTTCCCCTTTTATTCTTAACTTCTGAGGCTGTGAATTCTTCTGGAGACACCTGTTGACCACCTTGTTCAACTGTAAATGTTCCCTTAATGCTTTTGAAATAAAATTCATTTTGTAATTTTGTTTGAGTGGCTTGTTGTTTCATGATTACAGGGCTTTCTAACAATTTCATACTTAAAAGACCATTTTGTGATGGCTCATTGAAGGGATGTTCTCTCCTACAGTTTTATTTCATTTTAATGGAAGCTCAGATTATTTCAAATGGATAGGTATGCTTTAATCTACAACTGAAAAGCTAACAAAGGTTTGGACAGAACATGAAAGGTACATGTCCAGTAGAAGCTGTGAGAGAGTTCCAGGAGTTTGAATGCAATTTATTCAGGAACAGGAAGACCTTTTGCTTGGGAAAGTACGTTGTAATAGGGATTCTTCAAAACTCTAGATCACGATTCTAGACACTATCATAACTGGCAATGACTGAGCAGTGATTTAGCATCCAAGAACTGGTGAAAGATTTGTGAGAACGTGTCTGCCACTTCAGTGCACTATGGTGACATTCATATGCTTAGCCTGGAAAAACCCTTGTTGGTCATCGCAACTTTCAGAAAACATATTTGCCACTTTACCAAATTTAAACAATCTTTAAGTTAGTTTGCCATGTGACCTACAGGCTTGATCATGCAATCATCTGCATATGGCTATTATGTTAATTATCTTAAAATAACTTTCACTTAGTAGGAAGACAGACTGTTGTATTCTAAACTATAACAGAGATGCTACAGCCCTTTAGTCTTTTACTTGTTCTTAAATGCATATAGACTCAATGCAAGATTTTAGTATCAAGCCGGGAAAAATCCATTTGTCAAAAAGCCTAGGTCAAGTAGACGTAGTATAAAAGGAGGTGAAACAGTTGTCTCCATGCATGACTCACTATGGCTGTCCCCTCCCTTGAGTGCCATATACAGCAGCATCCAATGGATAGGGGGTAAGAAGGCAGGTTCAGTGCTCTGCCCCAGCTGTCCAGCACATATAAAGCTCATGTCAATGCCAGACTGAGCAGCTTTGAAGAAAGGGCAAACAGCAACAATAATCACTGTCGTGTTGTAACTACTTAATTGCTATTATAATCTTACTGTCATTTCATTATTAATATTCTATTACTAATACTTTTAGTATGATCTCTGGGTGCAGAGCTGTACTGCTACCTGGCGCATTCACAGGTGGTTGGTAGAGTGTGGAATGACCTTCAGGGAAGGTTAGCTGTAATAAGCAGGGGTAACTGATGAAAAAGTTGTCACAGACCAAGCAGCGGTAGCACCACCAGGATGGGGTGAGGACAGCAGATGACAATTCTTTTCCTCCTGAAAAACCACGTGTATCTTTTGACGGGGCTGACACAGTGAGTACAGGTTGCCACTTTAATAAACCTGCCCAGCCCCCAGTTTTGGGTCTACAAGTCCTCAACGGCAGAAGATGTTTGAAGCTCGATGGCTACGAAGGCAGATGAAGGCTGCACTAGAGCGCGAACCCCAGTTGCCTTGGTCTCCTTGCCATGGGATCATGGTCCCGTCTGTCAAGAGCTGTGGGGGGCTTGTGTGCTGCAGCTTCTCCACAATAAAACAAGTCAGGCACAGGCCCCCTTCCCCTGTGGTAGAGTACAGGCAGTCCTCAGACTTAGGACACAATTGGTTCCTGAAAACATGTTTAAGTTGAAACATTCTAACTTGGAGACAATTTTCTCATGAGAAACCATGTTATAAATGGAGGATTGGTTCCTGAGCCAAGGCCCGATACCCTATTTTTACCAAAAATGCCCCAGAATTTTGTACTTGATCAATTATAGATGAGTAATGTAGCTACATTAATGTATTTACATTGTAAATAGCAATCATATTGATTCGGAAGGACTTCTTCGAGGTGACTTTGCTGGACTTTTTGAAAGGCTCTTGGTTGAACTTTTTGAAGGGTTCTTGGCTGGAGTCTTCTCAGGAGCCTTCGCTGCAGTTTCTTCTGGAGTCTTGTCTGCTTTCTCAAAGGAAGTGTCCAAGGAAGTTTGGACAGATGTTCTCCAGGGAGATGAGCAACGCAGAGAACTTGTTCACTGGCATGGCATCACATCGGATCAAGTGTTGTAAAGTCGAAACTGACATCCAAAAGTTGAAACAGGGTGTTAATTTATAAACATTGTAAGTGCGAAACATTGTAAGTCAAGGACTGCCTGTACATCCACATCAGGCAGGCTTCCCCAACCATCTTCCCACACGCAGAGAAGAGCATAGGGGAAAGATAATCCTCAACCGCGAGGGAGTGCCAGAGATTATGATGTGGTTTAATTATTACGTTATCTTCTTTTTACTGTATTGTCACTGTTATTTTCATTATTACTATTATAACCATTATTTTTATTGTTACTATTACTATCATCATTTTTATTATTACTATTAACATCGTCACCCTCTTCATTATTATTATCCTTATTTTAGTATCATTTTTATTCCTATTATTAGAAATGATTTGTCCTTGCTTCTATTACGTTATGACTTGATTATTACGTGCCATTAGTATTAATAATAAATGAATAGCAGCAATACTTGCAACACCGGCGCCAGGAGCGGCGCCACCCCACCTCCACGCCGTGACTCAAGCTTCTGGCCGAAAGCTCCGCCCCCTGGGCCGTGGGCCCGCCCCCTTCTGCTCTGGGGCGCGCGCTCGCTCTCTCTCTCGCCCAAAATGGCGGCCTCGGCGCTTCCGGTTCCGGGTGGTGCGGGGGGGCTGGGATCGGCGAAGATGGCGGCGGTCGGAGTGGCCGGGCGGGGCGGGCCGGGTTTGGTGCGCACCCCGCTGGGCTGGGTGCTGGGTCTGTCCCTACTGCTGGGCCTGGGGGCGCCGCCTGGCGCTGCCACCACCCACTGGGTGGTCACTGAGGACGGCAAGATCCAGCAGCAGGTGAGGGGCGGCCGGTGCCCGCCGGGACCCACACCCCCCGCTGGGCTGCGGGTGTAGGCGGCGTCCCGGCCTCGGCGGCCTCGGCCTTGCTCGCGCTGCTGCTCAGCCCCTGCCCTCGTGTCACCTCTCCGTCGCGGTCCTCGGGCCGGGAGTCTCCTGGGCAACCGCCTGGGCCACACAGGAGCAAAGTCCCCGGGGCGTCGGGTGCGAGGCTTCCCTCCGCCCTTGGGAAATGCCATTTCTGGGCCTCCCTATGAGTCCTGAGAGCTTCGTGGCGGGGATCCCCACTGGCACAGGCCACGGCAAGGGAAGGATGCGCTTCATGCTGTGGTCTGTTCCCGTTTGACACCTCTGGGCTTGTCTGGTGAGTCCTGAACGGGCGCCTGACAGTGCACCTCTAGGTGCTGCGGGCCCCCGGTTGAGAATCCCTCGGTCGCTGCTCGAGGGATTGCTCGTTAACGACATCCTGTCTCAGTCAAAGCACCTAATCCACTCTGGGAGGGGAGGTGTGTTTCCCTGCTCATCTAAATGGGTTTCTTCCACCATTCCTCTCTCCACTGCAACCTCCGGCATTCAGCATCAAGCTTCCTTGCTCATGAGACGAGCAGGGAAGCTTGACGTCAAATGTCAGAGGTTGCAGTGGAGAGAGGAATGGTGGAAAAAACCCTGGTCGTGCCCAGGTCACTCTCACATTCAGCAACCGCTCTCTGCCATGGTGTGATGCAGGGTACTAGGCAAGATGGGCCTCTGGTCTGACCCAGGAAATGGCAGGTCTTATGTTTTAGGTTCTTATGTTAATTCCAGCCTATGGTTGTATTTTGAGCCTTGAGTTCCTGGATGTCACTTGTTAAAGGGTGCTTGATTTTGTAGACTATGCTGGAAGAAAAGGGGAAGCCAAGTTCAATGAGTCTTAATGCTGAAGTAGCTTGGTTCTCATACAGTAAATGCCCTCTAACATGGAGCGGGGTAGGTTGTAACCGTGTTGGTCTAAGGGCATAGGCAGTCAAGGTTCTTTGAGTAAATCTGATATCTTTGGTTAGACGGACTAAATAGTTGGGGGAAAAAAATCCCAACTATTTAGTTGGTCTAATAAAAGGTATCAGACTTACCCAAAGAACCTTGTCTGCCTGTACCATGGAGGGGAATTTGTGATTACAGCATTAACCGTGATTAGTATTAGCAGTTACTAATCTGAGAGGGTGTGAAAAATGACTGCAGTGCCTGATGCTTTTATTGTCAATGCTTTTTGATGTGGCAGCCGTAATCTGAAGTGCAGATGGGTTTGACGTTCCTCTCCTTTTCTTTTCCTATTCTTCCCTTTTCCTTTGGGTTTTGGGAAGCAATGTATGGTAGTAATGCAGTGAGCTGTTGTAGCAAGTATCCATTCTCCTCTGTAGTACTTATATCTGCTTAGTCACAACTGGTTTTTTTGGTACGGAGCTGTTTCACAGTTGACTCGATTACAGAAGAGAGGCAGCTATTGTATATTTTACGCTTTTTTAAAAATTGTTTTAAAATCTGCTCCCTTGGTGTGTTAGAGAAACAGTCAGCATCTCTTCTTACATTAATGTTTTTTTTTACTCAAAAGGCAAAAAATAATTGAAACAATTAACTAGCTAGATTCAGCATCGATGACATGACTTTTGAGATTTCTGTCTCCACTGCCTAACAGACCTAATTAACTATGTGAGAGATGCTTCTGTTGTACTGTAGCTGTGATGATTTATGCATTATATATTTCACTTTCTTTTCTAAATTTTTGTGTGGAGTTTCTGTACCCTACCAAACAGCTACTAGGTTGCATCCTGGAAGCAGCTGAAATGAGAATATAAAGAGCTTTAAGATAAAAGTGCTTTGTGAATTGTAACGGTACATTTACATTTACAATAATGAATCAGGTAATTTAATACAAATGACATCCATCCATTTCTAACCTCATATTGTGTAGGCACTGAGGTAGTAAGGAACGTGGAGAGGTGGCTTCCTTTTTAGTAGTTTGTAACTTTGATTTCCCCCCCCCTGTTTATTAAGTGATACAACTGTTCAATTCATCTTTAGAAGTAAAATGTATGTAAAATGTTGTACCAGGATTCCCTCCTTTCTCTCTTTTTTAGAAGTAAAGGTTTCTGTCCAGTGAGATGCTAAATTTTTCCTCCAAGAACATTTTCTTTTTGTTAAAACCTGTATGGTATTAAGAATAGGAAGCTTACATGAGAAATCTGGGAAAAGAAGTATCAGTGCGCAGTGTCTATTCCAAATGTTGTGGTTGGGATTGCTTGGTTATACTTATAGTAATTGTAAAATCTGGTTGCTTGTCATTCAGAATGTCTACTAAGTAATTACTTATGTGACTAAAGAGGTCGAGAGAGAATGAATGAATAAATAAATAAATAAATGCCTATTTCAGATTTACAATACATACGCCATAGATTTCAGGCAATACCACTTAAGATTTATGGAGTATTTCTTGCACCAGGAATTCACTCAAAGCAGCATGGACCTGGAAGCTTACTACAACTCGCCATAAACATTGTGAAGGTGTGATACTAAATGTAAAAATATCCTTTCCTCTAGTATCCTGTTTGTCTTTGTTCACTTTCAGCACAATTGGAACAAAATGTCTTTGCCTTTTCAACATCCTTTCTAGATCTTTGCTCTGTCATATCTTACTTCCTTTCTTGTTTTGCCCCAAAACATTCTGTCCTACTTTTTTAAATTTCTTTGTTCCTGTATATCTTTTGCGACGTCTTGAAGCATAAAGTGTTATTTATTGTGCATTGCTTTCATGTAATAATTGCACATGAATGTATAGATAGGTGTAAAGAAAGTACGTATCACCATAGAATATAGCTATCATTAGGACTGGAACTTGTCAAAAAAAGCTATGTAGCAGCCTGTGCAACTGAAATATGTAGCTTTATCACTTTCTGATAATTAATGCTTCTGCAGCAAATAGTGTAATGACCTTCAGCAAAGAATCTTCTATAAGTTTACATGTATCCTGCACATCTTACTGAAAGAGCTCTGCAAGAACTTCCAAGCAGGAGACATTCATAATCTTTAGGGCTTCAGTGCTTTATGAATAATTGAACATTTTGTTGTTGGATTTAAAGTTATTCTGTTTCACTGCAAAGAGTAGCAGTGATTCTCCTCTTTCAAAGTTGCTATATCTTATCTTTTCTTGAACATGGATTGTAATCCAGTCCCTAAATTGCCTTGTACACTGGCATTGGTAGGGTAAATAATTTAATAAAACCATAGACTTAGAGGACACAGATGACCCAACAGCTGTTTTATGCTCCTCTGACCTCAGTTTGGGTGGGGTCTCTCTAAATGTTGTCACCAAGGAATATATTACTTTTTACTTGTAGGTGCATCTGGTGCTTGTCTTTTACTATTAGAAAGGTTTAGTATGCTGAAAGACCCTTATCGGTTTAGATTTTATATTTTCTACATCTGAGCTTGTTCCTATATCTTAATTCTAAAGGGAGTAGGAAGCTAATTATGGGAATCTCATTACAATTTCCATAGAGGAATCTCTTTATGGTATTCATAAATTCAGAATTTGTGACTGGAGCTTCTATTTTGACTGCAGCAGGGTTCCATGGAATTTTATTTTATTTTATGGATTTCCATAAATTAAAATGTTCCTTTTGGGGGTGGGGAGAGGAGGTATTTTCCTTTTGAGTGAAAACAACAAGTTTTTTGCTAGGTGGACTGAAGGATTATATGCTTTGAATATTTACCTTTTTATCAAACAACGAAATATGAGTTCATCATTTCTTAGTAGTAATCAGTGAACTATAACAAGCTGCCCTCCATTGACAACAACAGTAAGATATGAAGGTAACTGTTTACCACTTGAATTATAAGCCTTTGCACTGAATCTTGGTGTTTCCTATCCATTGCTTCCTATGTCATCTTATCAGATCACTTCATTTGCACAAGGGCTAGCCATGAGATTTGGGTGTGAAGCAGTTAGAACATGCCAGACTAAACTGGAAATGGCTTACCGAGGGTGTTGACTAAGATCTTAGTCTAGTTAGCACTTGCTTTCCTTTGCTTTAGCCTTCCCAGCAATCTGAGAAACGGACAGGGAAGTTATGTCTCCATTTTAGAGAAATTTTGAGGCAGTCCAGTGACACTCGGGTATCTGAATGAAGGGCGTATGCCTCAGACTAAACATAGGCGAGGCTTAAACAATGGGCTTTACTAAGCTAATTCATTCTGGTTATCCTTATAAGTAGCACCACTCCAACCTTCGGGTTATCTCAATGAATGGTGTTCTTTGTTACCAAACTGGACTGGGTTACTGCATCAGGAGCTGAAAGTGAAGACAATTTAGAAACTCTACCTACAGTATGTTCAGAATGCAGTAGCCTGTTTTTTTGCAGGGAAAGATATTTCAGAGGAAATCTGTTTATAGGTTAAACATTCCTCTTGTGTGATACCTTGCAGGTTAAAATTCTCCATGTCAAAAAACGCTTCCCTGCTTACAACCCAGTGACTAGTTTCTCCCTGAGTTAATGTAGCTAACACATCCTGAATGACACTGGGACAAGGAGTACTCCTTGTCACTTGTGGAGTACTCCTGCCAGAGACTTGGGCTTGGTGTTACAATCTAACAGTTTTCGGTATTTTGAAGAAATCGCTTCTGGCCACTTGATGTACTTGACTAAGTAGACATAAACTGGAATAGCAGTTTTCAAGTAAGTTAGTTCATATATACATCAGAGAATTAGGGTTGTAAGGGACCTCAGGAGGTCATCTAGTCCAGCCCTGTACTCGAAGCAGAACCATCCCCAACTAGATCATTCCAGCTAGGGCTCTGTCGAACCAGACCTTAAAATTTTCTAAGGATGAAGAGTCCATCACCTCTCTAGGTAACCCATTCCAGTGCTTTGCCATCCTCCCAGTGAGAGAGTTTTTCCTAATATTCAACCTAAACTTCACTTTCTAAAACGTCATAGAATCCTAGAAAGTTAGGGTGGAAAGGACCT